TCCAAAGATTTCCTGCTGCCTCAAACAACTCTGACCTTTCTCCCTTGTGGCTCGGGTTGCCAGCCTCCAGGTGGCACCTGGCGGTCTCTTGTTATTAGAATTGATCTCTAGATGATCAAGATCAGTTCCCCTGGAAAAAATGGCTGCTTTGGAGGGTGGACTGTATATGGCATTATACCCTGATGATGTCCCTTCCCTCCCTAAACCCTACTGTCCCCAGGCTCCACCCCTCAGATCTCCAGGTGTTTCCCACCGCATCGCTGGCAATGCCACTTGTGGCTCCTTTATTTATTTATTTTTATTTATTCATTTGATTTTTATCCCGCCCTCCCCGCCAAGGCAGGCTCAGGGTGGCTTACATAAAATAGCAGTAACTGATTGAAGGTCAAAGAAGACGGGGACGGCAAAGGATGAGATGGTTAGACAGTGTCATAAATGCAACGAACATGAAGTTGAGCAAACTTCAGAGGATGGCAGAAGACAGGAGGGCCTGGCGGGATCTTGTCCATGGGGTCGCGAACAGTCGGACTCGACTGTGCGACTGAACAACAACAACTGATTGCAGTCTTCATGTATTTGAAGGGTTGTCATGTAGAAAATGGAGCAGATCGACTCTCTCTTGCCCTGGATTGCAAGACAAGATCTAATGGGTGGAAATTACAAGGGAGTCATTACCGGCTAAATATCAGGAGGAACTTCCTGTCAGAGTGGTTGAGCAGTGGGACAGTCTGCCTCGGGAGGTGGTGGGTGCTCCTTCACTGGACGTTTTCAAGCGGAGGCTGGACTACCATCTTTCGGGTATGTTGTAGGGCCATCTTTCGGCTCTGTTCCTGCAGAGTGCAGGGGGTTGGACTAGATGACCTGCAAGGTCCCTTCTAACTAACATTCTATGAGGCTATGATTCTATGATATAAATATCAGCATAAAAACAATTTACATAACAATGGTGGTATGTAATAGTAAATCCTGGAAGCAACTCACAAGATCCCATAGGTGTTCTACTCCCTTAAATGGCACTAGTGTTCCTGCTAAGCTGAGTTAGTGTGAGCTACCTCACAGTTTTTTTAGCCTTTGGCTCACACATTTTTGTCTTAGCTCAGGAAGGGCCTGTGTAAACAGCAATAATGCACTGCAGGTCCAACTAGATCAATACCAGCAGAGGCCTACAAAATAAGAATGGTGAATAAATAAGTTCTTCACAGGTCAATTGTTCCCCTACTCGTGACACTTGTGAGAAAGTACTGAAAAAATTACTGTGACCTCGATGGCCCAGGCCAGCCTGATCTCGTCAGATCTCGGAAGCTCAGCAGGTTTGGCCCTGGATAAAACTTGGATGGGAGACCACCAAGGAAGTCCAGGATCACTACACAGAGGCAGGCAATAGCAAACCATTTCTGAACGGCTGTGATTTGATGGCAAAAGGGGGGGACACACACACACATCCGCCAGGTACCTTCAGGTGGTGGCACTCACCTATTCTGGAGCCATTTGACCTGATATGTGCTTGGACAGAGCCATTTCCAAACAATGAGGAAATACCGACAACGTTTAAGAAGCATTACCACTCCTTTGGATCTGGTCTTGAGTTCCCCCATTCACTTTAGGCTAAGCCCTTTGTCAGCAAGCTGCCATAGGGTGGTGTGTTCTGTTCTACATGTTACATTGTACTCGACCCATCCCCCCGGTATCTCCCTGTGTAGGTGTTTACTTTCTTTTGCTTGCTACTTCTGCGGAACTGCTCAAGGTCAACCAGCTGGAGGTGGGATGGAGTTATGGCGTTGCTTTGCTTATTATGTATCTCATGCCTGAGAACTGAACTTGTGTTTATATTGTAGAACCGTTGTGTTCCCAAGGAATTGGGCACTAGTTTTATCTTCATTCCTGCCAGCGGGAATTGGACTCATTGGTCCCAACCTGGTTCAAGTTCCTTTATTATGTTCCCCTATGGGGTCTGTAGTCATTCCTAACAATTCTTGTGTTCCTGATATAACCATCTCTTTATAATAAATTTAACTTTGATCTTCAAACGTGGATTTATTTCGAATGCATGGGGAATCGGACACCCTTGTACTTGTCTCAAGGAAGGAGAGAAGGCAAGAGATGAATCCAGGCTAAGGACAAAGTGTCATTAAGAGCTAAAGAAACAAAATTTACGACCAGCCTCTGGAAGAACCCAGGCTTAGGTTTCCCAAATATTTAGGTTACTGTTTTGTTAATTTGTAAGCAATGCTGGTTTAACTCTATGACTGTTACAATTGCTCTTTCCTGAGGTAGAAAGGATAAGATTGCCTCTGTCTGAGACCGAGTGGCACAGGAGGAGCTCACCGGTTTCCTCACCAACTCTCTCCCCCATCCTTCAGTGGCCAAGATCCAGAGTTCAAGGTGAGGCAGTTACAGAACCCTCCCTGGGAAAGGAAGCCCCTCCCAAAGAACAGGTGAGTAAAACAGCTCGTGATCCAGGTGTGGCAGGTATAGGAGACGGGGCTAGGGTGCAAGGGGCAACACAGCAGTGTGACTGGCGCCACTGCTTATGCAATGCTTCCGATAATAATTACAGTCCCACGGTCATTGAGCAGCAAGCAGACTTCTCAAATGATAGGATGCATTTCCCCAAGGCTGAACAGAAGTTCTCGCAAGGGTTGCCAACTCCAGCTTGGAAGATTCCTGGAGATTTGGGGGCTGGAGCGTGGGAAGGGCAGGGTTGGGGAGGAGAAGGGTATCAGTGGGGTATAATGCCATAGATTCCACCCTCCAAATCAGCCATTTCCTTCAGGGGAACTGGCGTCTATCGTCTGGAGATCAGTCGTAATTCCAGGAGAACCCCAGGCCCTAAGTGGATGGTGGTGACCAGGGGTCATTTCATAGAAAAAGAGGTGCAGGAGCTCATTAGCATAACTTATTTGCATATGTCACACACCCCTGACATCACCGGAAGTGTGTCAGAAGGCAACACCCACTGCTCAGGCTCCACTGGACTGTTTTGGATTGCTAGCTATTGGGGGGGGGGGAGAACGGGGAGATCTGTCCTCGCAGAGGAGGGAGGGCTTACCTGATGGTGGTTTGGGGGGGGAGGGCTCTGCAACTTACCTGGCTGCTTCTTGCTCCTCGTAGCCCAACTGAGGGCTGCTGGTAGCAGGGGGTGGGGCTTGTTGCATGTGCCCGCCCCCTGGGCTCCTTACTGCCGGAGTTCCACTCCTGCGCGCTCCCACAGGGAATGACCCCTGGTGGTGACCTTAAAAACAACAACACCATCTTCTGGAAAGGATGACGAAGAGGAAGGAACAGTGAGGAGGTATGATGGAGGCCATGTGGGCCTAAAAAGAGGCTTTGAGACCAGGTGGATAGGAAGTGAACATAAGAACACGAGAAGAACTCTGCTGGATCAGACCAGTGCTTCCTCTAGTCCAGCATCTTGTTTTCACAACGAATGCCTTGGACAGCCAACAAACAGGGCATAGGCGCCAAGGCCCTCTCCTGATGTTGTCTTCTAGCATTGGTATTCAAACTAGGTGTGCAAGCTATGGGTTGGGAAATACCTGGAGATCTTAGGGGTGGAGCCTGAGGAGGGCGGGGTTTGGAGAGGGGAGGGACTTCAATGTGGTATAATGCCGCAGAGTCCACGTTCCAAAGCGGCCATTTTCTCCACGGGGACTGATCCCTGTTGCCTGGAGATCAGTTGTAATAGCAGGAGATCTCCAGCCACCACCTGGAGGCTGGCAACCCTCATTCAGATGTTTGTTGCTTCCAAATATGGTGGTTCCCTTACTGTGTGGACCTTTGATGGACCTCTCCTCCATGAATCTAACTCCCTTGTAAGGCCTTCTGTGTTTATGGCCCTTACTACCTCCACCGGGAGGGAATCCAGCTTAATCACTTATTAAGTGTTTTCTTGTCTCTGTCCTGCCCCATCAACATTGGCTGTCCCCGAGTTCCAGTATTATGGGAGACACTGGCCCTAATAAAGGGCCTTGCATGGATTTTGGTTTTTGTTTCCAAGTTTGCGTGGGCCGTTTTCAACTTTTGTCTTATAAGAAGGCAGCCTATTGGCCTGTTGAGTCAGGTACTGGCCAGTGTTCTCTCTAAGCTGAGTGAGTGTGAGCTAGCTCACAGTTTTTTAGCCTCCAGCTCACACATTTTTGTCGTAGCTCAGGAAGGGTGGCTCCAGAGCAAACTATTTATGCAGTAGCCAAATCGCTTGCTCACAACTTTAATGCCAGTAGCTCGCAAAGTAGAATTTTTGCTCACAAGACTCCCCAGCTTAGAGGGAGCATTGCTGACAGCCTTGACTTGATCTCACAGATAGAGTGGGATCTTTCCCTGCCCTGCTATCTGAGATGCTGGGAATCAGTCCTGAACACAAGACATGCTCTGTCACTGACCTGTAGCCCTGCTAGCAAAGCTTCCAAACATTAGAGGCTACCTTACATTGAGTTTGATCACTGATCTGTCTTCCCTTTCATTATTGTCTATCTCTGGCTGAGCAAGGACTTTCCCAACACCTGCTGTCTGGGATCTTTTCTAATGGGAATTGCTAGAGACACAACCCGAGAGCTTTGCTAACATTGGACTTTAACAAGACAGCCTCTCTTGAGATCATTAGGGTAGAAATGCTAATATTTAATAGTGTTTAATAATGCAATTTATTATGGTCATGAAGTTCTTCTCACCTCCCCCTTTCTTGAAAAGTAGGCAAAAGTTCATGGTGACACAGCCTAAGACAGGACTTTGCACCCATGGGCTCAGTGTCCACCTCAAATTAGAAAGGACTGGGGGGGGGACAGAAGCAATTTAGGTAATGGTTACCCAGTTTGGCCCGAGTCTTAACTGCCTACCTGTACCTCTTTCCCCAGGCAGCTGTCAGTCTTCGCCCCATTGGTGAATCGGAGAGGAGGAGGGATTTCCAGTCCCTGACGCTATTTTTGCTCAGTTGGAGCTTAAACTTTGCCACATAGTAGAAAGAGGGTTCAGGGCAGAGAGATCTCAGGGAAAGGGTGAAAAGGCACCCCGAGTGCTACAAAGGAACATTTCGGATAAAACCCACTTGGCCCTGAAGGAACCAAGGTTGCCAACAGTCAGGGTGAGTCTATGCATATTTATTTGGGGCAGAATCAGTCATTTCTTCCTGTTTTGTTCAGCGACACGACCCCTCGGGGACGTAATACAAGCAAGAGGACAAAGGTCAGAACAAGAATATTAGGGCAGCTACTACGGGGCAGAGATAAGGCTGCTGGCGAGGGAATGCTTTAACAAACAAGACGCCAAAGTTTTGCCATTCATCACGCATCTTGGGCAGATTAGACGCCCCAATTCCAGCATTTTAAAACCCTTTTTGTTTTCAGAACTGGGACCCACAGAGACTTATCTCTGTGTGTGTGGACAGAAAAAGGTTTGGCACTCACACTGAGGGTTGCCAACTGTACCCTGGGGAATTCCTGGAGATTTGGCGGCTGCACCTGTGGAGGAGGAGGAAGTTTGGGAAGGGATTTCACCTAGAAACGGTGTTCTACTATAGAGGCTGCCCTCTGAAGCAGACATTTTCTCCAGAGGCACTGTTTTTTGTAGTCTGGAGATGAGTCGTAATTCTGAGAGAACACCAGGCCCCACCTGGAGGCTGGCAACACTAACTGTCACTGTGGCTTGGAAGCAACACTCCCTCTCAGCTGTGGATTCTTGTGAGCAAAAATTGCTCATTTGTGAGCTCCTGGCATTAAAGTTGTGAGCGAGCGATTTGGCTACTGCATAAATTAGTTTGCATTGGAAGCCCTCCTTCCTGAGCTATGACAAAAATGTGTGAGCCGGAGGCTAAAAAACTGTGAGCTAGCTCACACTGAGCTTAGAGGGAACACTGCTTGGAAGTAATGCAGGCCAAGTCATGGTACTGGAATGTGATTTCAGTTAGAGAATTATAATTATTGCTATCATTCTTATTATAAAATGGTTAAAAAATTTTTTTGGGGATAGAATGATAATAATAGAAGTTCCCTGGAGAGTAGCATTGACGTTTTCTAAATAGATAAATAAAAACAGAGCTGGAAAAGGTATGACAAAGAGCAATTAGTGTGATCAAGGGGGTGGGTATAGGGTTGCCAGCTCTGGGTTGGGAAATCCCTGGAGATTTTGGGGGTGGAGTCTGAGGAGGGAGGGTTTGGGGAGGGGATGGAGCATAGTGCCACAGAGTCCACAATCCATAGCAGCCATTTTCTCCAGGTGAACTGATCTCTATCATCTAGAGAACAATTGTAATTCTTGGAGCTCTCCAACTACCACCCAGAGGCTGGCAACCAGGGGTCATTTCCTGCAGGAGTGCACAGGAGCGGCGCTCCGGCAGTAAGGAGCCCAGGGGGTAGGCACATGCAACAAGCCCCACCCCCTGCTCCCAGCAGCCCTCAGTTGGGCCACGAGGAGCAAGAAGCAGCCAGGTAAGTTACAGAGCCGCCCCCCCCCCGGCCCGCCTTCAGGTATAAGCTCTCCCTCCTCTGTGAGGGCAGATCTGCGCACACACCCCCATAACTAGCAATCCAAAACAGTCCAGTGGCACCTTTAAGACCAAGTTTTATTCAGGTACAAGCTCTCCCTCCTCTGTGAGGGCAGATCTGCATGTTCCCTCCCCCCCAATAGCTAGTGATCCAAATCAGTCCAGTGGAGCCTGAACAGTGGGTGTTGCCTTCTGACACACTTCCAGTGATGTCAGGGTGTGTGGCATATGCAAATACGTTGTGCTAATGAGTTATGCTAATGAACTCCTGCACCTCTTTTTCTACGAAATGACCCCTGCTGGCAACCCATGCTCCCTCTCAGCTGTGGAGTCCTGTGAGCAAAAATTCTACTTTGTGAGCTACTGGCATTAAAGTTGTGAGGGAGCGATTTGGCTACTGCATAAATCAGTTTGCTCTGGAGCCCTCTTTCCTGAGCTAAGACAAACGTGTGAGCCGGAGGCTAAAAAACTGTGAGCTGACTAAATGAGGCAGTAGCCAACTCGCTCGCTCACCACTTTAATGCCAACAGCTCACAAAGTAGAATTTTTGTTCACAAGACTCCACAGCTTAGAGAGAGCATTGGAGGGGGTGTCTGTATCAGGAAGGGGGAATAAGTGGAAATCGCCAGTTTTAGTCTTGATCAAAACACCTTTGGCGGCCAAACCGAATAAATCAACCTGTAAATGTGATTTCTAGAGAGAATGGAACCTTTGCACCTTTCATTATATTTTATTAATTATAAACCTTGGTTGGTAGAACGGTGTGGTGGAACAGAGTTTCCATCAGCACTCCGGCTGGCATGAGGCAGATGTGTGAATAATTGTCCTCCAGCTGCTGTAGGAGAGGAGAATTATCAGGTTCAACAGAATTACAATTTCTTATGCCTTTTAAGGGTTTGGGGGAGGAGAGAGGTAGGGATGCCAGCCTCCAGGTGGCAGCTGGAGATCTCCTGGGATTACAACTGATCTCCAGGCAATAGAGATCAGCTCACCTGGAGAAAATGGCTGCTTTGGAAGGCGGTCTCTATGGGCATAATACCCCATTGAAGTCCCTCCCCTCTCTAAGCCTCACCCTACTCAGGTATTTCCCAAACTAGAGCTGGCGATCCTATGGACAGGCTGAGTCTAGAAAAGACTTCAGTTGATTCCCAGTTTGGTGTCGTGGTTAGGAGCGCGGACTCTAATCTGGGGGAACCGTGTTTGATCCCCCACTTCTACACTTGCAGCTGCTGGTATGACCTTGGGTCAGTTACAAGTTCTTTCAGAGCTGTTCTCTCAGGAGCAGTTCTCGAAAGAGCTCTCTCAGCCCCACCAGGTGTCTGTTGTGGGGAGGGTTAGGGAAAGGAGATTGTAAACTGCTCTGAGACTACTTGGGGTAGTAAAGGGCGGGGTACAAATATAATCTCCTCCTCCTCCTCTTCTTCTTCTTCATCAACATGATCTTTTCTGATGGGTTGGCAGAGGCTAGGTAGCTAAAGGGCAGATGCAGATTAGCCGGTGGACTGAGAATCAAGGATCTGTGGAAAGGAGGACTGGGGAAAAGGAAGAGACCAGGAACTAAGGCCATACTTTACTTGAACGAAACAGCCACAGGCTTCAACAGGCTTCAACAAGCTTCAGATTCACTGGAAAACAGAGTAAAGTGATTCAGATTTCGAAACCGATAGGAGAATAAAAACACTGTCTGCTGTTGCCATCTGACATTCAGAAGAACCTGCATTAGTTCTTCGATTTGAGTTGGGTATGCCCAGGTATGGATCCAAAATCGATTACCTGCACATCCCATAATTAAACATTAGCTTAAGGAAGGTCAAACAGTTACTGAGAAAAGATTAGCTGGGTATGGGGTCATTGCGGGGAGGGCGGGGTATAAATTGAATAAAATAAATAAATAAATTTAATAGAAAAAGAGGTGCAGGAGCTCATTAGCATAACTCATTAGCATAACCTATTTGCATATGCCACACCCCCTGACATCACCAGAAGTGTGTCAGAAGGCAACACCCACCACTCAGGCTCCACTGGACTGTTTTGGATTGCTAGCTATGGGGGGGGGCGGGCCGACAAAATCG